ATCCACAGAAACTATCACACGATTCATTGTCACGCTTCCTTAGGATAAACCGAACGTCCGAATCATGCCAAGTCATCTCATGAATTCAACGTAACGTTAACATCAGGCACGTTGGAAGTCGTGCGGACAGCAGCAATCAATCGAGAGGAGTGGAAATACTCTGTGAAGGCCCTGTGTGCCACGAGGCATGAAAAGGATTGACGATGATGATGATGTTAACATCAACAACGAAGAAAGTTTTGAGTCGATTTCGCCAGCTTTTTATTGGAAGTCAGTACAGTCGAGACGTTGCGGTCCACAATACAAACCACAACAAGAATATTCCTACGAGCAATAATTTAATCACAATTGATGTAAGTTTGTTTCTATCACTCTCAAATAAATATGTTACAAAATTTCCGCACTCCCACCTAATAAATAATATATAATTTCCTGTAAAACGTGAATGAACTATAGCATCTTTAGACTAGGGAAACTTTGCTACTTGACTAAATACCATTCTCTCTTCCAGAAAAATCTATACATACATTTAAAAAGATACTTTTCCAAGGTATAAAAAAATGGGCATAAAACCTGACCATGAAAAAAAATTATTTTTATCCAGGGGATAGTGGCATATTCATCACTAAAAAAAAATTACTTTTTTTATTTTATTCTGAACACCAAGGGTCACTGAGACAAACTGATTTAAAACCATCTTGAGATTTTCCTCAAATTTGAAAAAAAAGAATTGTTGAAAGAGTTTTACAAGGAGATAATTTTTTGGTGCTAACCAACCCAACGGTTTAACCCTTTTAACTCCTATGGGTGACCAAGGCAGAATTTCTCTTTACAATATCAAAACAATATCAAGCAGACAAGTAATGAGAATTAAAAAAATATCAATCACAATAAAATTAGTGGATCAAATACCAACTTCTCGTTACTCAAATTACAAGAGTTGCCTGGCAGACAGTTAGGAGAAGTACTGATGAAATCTTGAAGGTGAAAGGTTGAATGAAAAGAAATTTCGATCGGAATTTCTAACTAAGACACTCCCGGTACAAGGTCATCTGACTCATCCAGACTAAGAATGCCCAAAATAATTTTGACTGACTATTTTTCATCTCTTTCTAATTGACGCAAATTTTTTCGCATCCTTCATAATCAAGACATAACTGCTTATTGTAACAAATCGCGATGGACAATCAGCTGCTTCATACCCAGTCTCCTTCCACCCCAACGCTGGGTATCTATGACCATAACAAGGCCACTAAACGAGTTGTCACGCAAAAAATAAACGCGGCAAAAATCACTACTTAAAAAAACCTCACCAAATATAATATACAAATGCCTTGCTTTAATAATGTTTCCAAGATCGTCCTGTAGAAGTTCCTCTACAGAAAAAATCATAAAATCACCGATACTATCACTAATACCCCCGTATAAAAAGATTGCGCAAGTGTCACGCAAGTTTTAAAAAGTCACGCTTCGAAGGAGTGTGTGAGTACTACACAAATGCCAGCATTTGTGGTTTGGCCTTCACGTCATGGCGATGATTTTCTGTCAACTTTCTCGTAGAAAAGGATGTATGCTTGTGCTCCTGGCACCCGCGATCGAGAAATTCCTTCCACCCTGAAACAAAACAAACCTCTGTTAACTTTCAAAGAAAGTTCAATATTAACACATTCCAAGAAAACTCCGGAATTTCGCGATATTTCCGCAGGTGTTCGAAAATAACCGCCAGGTAAGCAGTTTATCACGGAGAGAAAAATTTTGTCACGATTTAGTAATCTTCAGTTCGTACTGTACCCTTTTTCTTTAAACTTCTCTAGAATGACATGAAAACCTGAGAATTCTAGCTCGTGGAATAAAGCAGTGTTTAGTTGATCATGGAAAGTGATTCTGGATTCAATTAGCTTTGTGATTAGTCCAGAAAACTCGTGCCACTACCTCAACAAATCAAATGCATTTTAACTAAAATCAATCCCAACTTGGTCACCTGCGTTTTCCCGCGCTTCAAGCTTTCAGTCCCTATTGGACGGGAAACGTCACAAAGAGCCAATCAGACTTCAGAGTCAACACCGACAAGCTGCCTGAAGCACGGGAAAACACGAGTGGCCAGGCGCGCTTAGGTCTAGGCTTGTTATCTCACTGGTTTAGAGGATGGCACAAGTTTTCTGAACCAATCACACACGTGACGAGGCAATATCACAGCAATCCTGAATCACTGTCCGTACTCAACGAAATATTGCCTGTTAAATTGTTTGAAATTATGGGGATAGCCAGTTTCCTTCATATCAAAGAATTCTGGTCGTACGGTGATGAACACAAACAAGACTGGGGTGCATCGACTTCTCATAGCAAGGAAAACTCACCGTGAATCGTTAAAGCAGTGCCACTGTCTGCTGATTGGATGTTTACAGTAAGCCATATAATGGCCGCCATAGGTGCTGCCTGAGTGATTCGAGACTGCGTACAGGGAGTAAACCACTGACCGACCCTCTGAAAGCAGATGACAGACAATTATACAACATTGCACCAGTGTGGGTTGACCAGAGCCCTTTGAGCCGACAAGATATTGTTATT